GATTATCCCCCCACATAATCTCCCCCCCTGGGACCCCAAACTGGCAACTTGACTACCCCCCGGCCGCAGGCGGCCCACCCCCGAACTCACAACGGTGGGTGCGGGCGTCCCCGGGCTCAAGCTCCCAGGAGGCCCCAGGAGGCCCCCAAGAAGCCCCAGGAGGCGCCGATGAGGCCCTCAAGGGGTTCTCAGATACCAAGAAGCGGCTCCAAGGAATCCAAAACGGCCCTGGGGGGCTTCGAAACTTCATCCAAGAGGCTCGCGAAAAGCCCCTCGAGAGAGCCCAGAGAACACCGCACAAACCTCACACCCACAACCCAGGCACGGTGCCTGGATATGCCGAAGGCAAGTAGCTCGTGGAAAAATCCCAACGGTCTAATCCCTTGCCGAAAACACTCGGAGACATGGGCGGAAGCAGACCCAGGAGGACAGCGATGGGGAAGAGGGCCAGCAAGAGGACGATTGGTCCCGCCATTTTGGCGCGAACGGAGGGTGCACTACCCCCTGGCGGCTCCTTGGGGTACTGAAACCCGCGCTTCGCTCGAGACGTTCCCAGAATTCGCTCCGCAAGCATCACCATCATCGTCATCGTCATCGTCATCGTCATCGTCATCGTCATCGTCATCATCATCATCATCATCATCATCATCATCATCATCGTCATCATCACCACCACCACCACCAGCACCACCACCACCACCACCATCATCATCATCATCATCATCATCATCATCATCATCATCATCATCATCATCATCATCATCATCATCATCATCAGCATCAGCATCAGCATCAGCATCAGCATCATCATCAGCATCAGCATCAGCATCAGCATCAGCATCAGCATCAGCATCAGCATCAGCATCAGCATCAGCATCATCATCATCATCATCATCATCATCATCATCATCGCACTGCAGCGGCGCAAACAACCATCCTGGGCTTTGTGCTACAAGTGCGCCTAGGCCAGAATTCTCAAACCGGTTGCAACCGCGGCGACGAGGGCCCCCTCGAGACCCAGAAACAGAGGACAGCGCAAGAATCCTCCGACCCACTGTCGGCCTCAAGGCGCGTCAACCTCTATAATCCCCCGGGAAACCGAGGCCAAAGACTCGCCCACCCCTCCGAAGCGAGCCTGGCACCACAAACGAGGAGCGCAACATGATCCCCAAGATGCACCCAGGAAGCCCAAAAGACGTGCCGACAGGTCACCAAAACGAGCCCGAGGCGCGTTCAAAACTGCTGTGAGAGACCCTGCCCCCCCAACAAAAATACAAGGGGTCGGCGGATGTGGCGTAAGCCTATAGAATCAGATGGCTCGATGACCAATTGCGGCGGCAATGCCAGCCGCGATGCGTCTCGTGCGACGCTGGATTCATGACCCCGGCGCTTGTATCGTGCAATAGTCCGCGCGCTGTTTCTACTGTTGCCGCTCCGACGCCTGCGAGCGCAGGCGAGTCGCTGCCTGCTTCACGGTCCGTCGTCCTGCCGTCATCTCGTCGTCGTCGCATCTCTCTCTTGGGACATTCCGAATCCTCCTCCTCCTCCTCCTCCTCGCCATCTTTCTCCTCGTCCTCCTCCACCCCTCCGTTCCCTTCTGTCCCCCCCCCCTCATCGTCCACCTCATCGTCCACCCTCCTGCTCCCCCCTGGCGAGGGTGCCTCCTGCTGCCTCCTGGCGAAGGTGCCGCGGCATCTGCGACAGAGAGCTCGTGCTGCCACGGGGGCCGCCGCTGGGAGCGAGAGGGGCGGAGGAACCGAAAATGGCTGCCGGCGGCGCGCAGAAGGGCCCTTCCTGGGTCCGGAGCAGGAGGAAGACAAAGAGGACGAAGTGAGAACAGGAGGATAGCAGGGACAAGGAGAGGGGAGAGGAGACAGGGCCGAGCCAAGCTAGGTGAGCTCGCGCCGTATCTGACGTCCAATTCCTCCCTCCTATCCCTTACTGTTGCGCTGACTGTTTGTCTATCCGCGGACGGGTGTCATAGCGGACCTGGGACTCCCAGAAAGACGCCGTCGTGCGATGCGCAATTGGAAAACGAGAGCTGGGTGTAAGGAGGAGGAGGAGAAGGAGGAGGAGGAGGAAGAGGAGGAGGAGGAAGAGAAGGAAGAGGTGGCTGATAAGCAAAAGGATGAGCAGGAGATAGCAGTAGGAAAGAGAGGATACTGAGGAAGGAGGAGGACGGGGACGATCAGCAGCTGCAGCAGCTGCAGCAGCAGCAGCTCGCTCGAGCGGAAGGTGCGGGAGGAGCAGGAGGACCAGGGAAGGCGGAGGGTAAATGAGGGAGGCGGCATCGATGAAAAAAAACTCGGATCCATAATAGCGGCCAGCGCTGGGGAGAAAACAAGGCGCCGATCCGAAGCTGAGGCCCTCGCTGCACGGGAGCACCCTTATGCAACTCCACGTCTGAAAACAATCGAAATGTTGATGAAGAAAAACCATCAGGGCAACCAACAATTGACATCATGTGTAAAGAACCATGCGCGGACGTGGCGGGTGGGATGCTCCAACAGCGTCTTCGGGGAAGGAAGGAGAGTGGTATGCAGATTGTGCAATTGAGGATTGGCGGCGCAAGTTGATCGATCATAACGAGAACGTCATATGCCTGAGAAGCCTTCTGCGAGGCGGTCGATGAAAACCATATGTGGCCCCCGCCTCCTCATCCTCATCCTCCGTCTCCTGTGCGCAACACCAGGGGCGGCTGAGAGTCCATACCGCCTTGCGGGAGAGACGGCTGCCCTAGACCCCAGGGGTGGCGCGCCACTGCCACCTTCGCCACCCTGGGCACCTGCCCGGCGCCAAGCCACGCAGACCACTGGGAGGCAAAAGCAAAGCCAGCAGAAACAGCAGAAAGGCCTGGCCCTGGGGAGGCGCAACGAAACCGCATCATGGGACAGAAGCTCGGCGAGGAGGCGCGCCATGCTGAAGCAGGAAACACATTTGAAAAACAGTGCAACGGAAACGAATAGAAGCTGCAACAAATGACGGCGGGTGGAGTCATTGATTTATGTTACGTATTTCCATCCTGCTTCAGAAACAGCTCCCAGGCATAATTTCGAACACCCAGAAAGGCATCGAAACAGTGTCTGCCCGACACGCTAGCGAAGTGCCGAACGAGTATCGCCCCTAGGGCCCGATGTGTGAAAACCCTCTAGTTTCGGCACTGCCCTGGTGCCCGAAACTCTTCCTGGTGATCAAAGCTACAGTAGGTTGGAACGCCTTAACCACTGCTGGCGTACATGGCCTCGCCTGCCTGAGCGAGGCCCCCTTCGAAAACCAGGCCCCGCCGCGCCCCCCCCACTGTGGGTGGCGGTCTGGGGATGGGGCCCCCACGGCGCCGCGAGGTCGACGAGATCTCTGGAGACGTGGAACAAACGTACGAGCCACAACAAGCACGCTTGGCGGGGCTAGGAATCGCGAAGACCGAAATTTAGGAGGCATCTACTGGGAGGTCTTCGTCGGAACGATTAAAGACAATTACGCCCCATTGGCGTTCATCAAGCGCGGGCGGCGGCAAGGCGACCAACAGCATGGAGTGAAGCACCTTTGCATCGCGCTACAGTCTCACCTGGTAAGGACACCCTTTTTATCATGCAGCACTGCACAAACCTGTTAAATCTCGACAGCAGTGTGATGCTACACGGCTTTCTGGAGGAGCGCGTGACGGGACCGAAACCTGAGCGGTCCTTGGCAGCCTCCTCAGCGAACACATCTTCTGCTGCGAGTCTGGCCGACTGAACTCCGTCAAGGAGATGTCCGAATAACGCGGGTGTCATGCCGAAACGTTCCCCCTCCCCCTTTTTCCTCCCGAGACGTGTTGGTAGGGCGGGCAGGGCGTTTCGCTTGAGACATCTTCACCATGTACGATCCTTAAGCTGAAACTTTGCAACAGCTTTGCGGATGGAGGGCGGGCCGTTTTCAACATGCGACTCTCGCCCGAGCGCCGCGCACACTCGTCATAAGAATTTGGAAGGATTTCACGTTTGGAGGGCGGCCAATGTTTAAAGTTTGGCTCTCGCCGTGGCGCCGCACCCGTTCGTCCCCAAAACATGCTGCATGAGCTTCACGGGTGGAGGACGGTTGCTTTTCAAAATGTGGGCCTTGCCTTAGCGCCACGCACATGTGTGTTACGAGCTCACAGGAGATGTAAGGAGTATTATGGTTGACGTCCCAAAAACGAAACGGCGTTTGGGCACGATGGAGGACTGTCAGGGCACGACAGCCCCGTTGATTCGCAATTTTGAAGTCCCAGGACTGGCGTTCTGGCACGATTCAGGGTCGTCAGGACGCAACATTAACGTTGATTCGAGGCGTTGAAGTCCCAGGACTGGTGTTGCGGCAGAGTTCAGGATTTTCAGACAGTTGTCTTCCAATGGGGCGCTTCCTTCAGTGTGAATGGGTCCTCGTAGGGACCTATGGAGAGGGACTTGGAGGGAGGGTCTGTTGCAAGACCTTGGAGGGAGGGTTTGATGCAACATCGCATCGCTGATGAGCCTTGAATTTGCACTGGTCCTCCTTCTCCTCGTCTTCCTCACACCTCGCCTTCCCTCCAACTCGTTCGTGCTGTCTCATTCGAATCCGCACAGAACTTCGCTTGTACTGCTGGTGTCCTACTTTTTCGCCCTCCTTCATTCTTCTCGTCCTGCTCCCGTTCTCATCCTGATAGTTGCCCTCCTCGGCATCGTCCTCATCATCCTATGTACGTCAAGTCCCCTGCTCATCGACCTCGCGCCGTTCCTCCTCATCCTCCACCTCCTCCTCCTCATCACCCCTCGCCATTATTTACCTCACCATGCTTCTTCTCGTCCTCCTCATTATGTTCCTCCTCCCCGCTAGCTCATTCTTCTCTTCTCCGCATGAAGGAATGGGGTCCTGAGGCACACGAATCTCGGACCCTGGAGGCTCTTCCCAAGAACCAGATTTTCATCCCGAATCGTCCTGCGAGGGCCCCGCATGCCGAGAACGGGACAACAACTCTATGACCCCCTTCTCGCAGGACCGTCCTTCGTGGCAATCCCCATGCCATACCCACTGCGACGCATCTTGGACAAATGACTGCACACCACCCACCTCTCGACCAGCGACTCCCGCGCTCGGGGGGGGGGGTAGCCGGCAAGGGTCCGCACTTGAGCTTGTCGTAGTCGTTGGTTATGGCGTCCTCGAAGATGTCTTGGGGCGTGCACCACTCGCCTCCAAGCGCAATCGAAAACTGACCGAACCAACAGCGAGACCAAAACCGACAGGCCGCACACAGCCCGCCCCGCGGGCGCAGGTGGTGACGGCCTGCGCTGGGGCCAACGGGCATAGCAAGATCCAGCTCCCCGTGTGCCTCTTGCTTTTGTCCCCGTCGTCCTCGGCGTCCTCCTGCTCATCTCCCTGCGGCTCCTGCTGCGGTCCCTCGTCCTCCCTCCGTTGTGCTCGAACTTCACCGGCGGGCATGAACACTCCTACCTGTTACGGTCGGACCCTAGGATAGAATAACATATTTCAAGAGAATGTGACCCTCCGCCGGCCAAAACAAACAGAACTGACAAGGGTACCCTCCCCAGGATGCACAGGTCGTCCAACACACACGAAAAACACAGAGGTACCCTCCCCGAACCGACCTCGATGTGATACCTCGGTCCGACCGTAATTGATGAGCATATACTGCCCCTGGTGATCTGGACGCAACGGCGACGACCAACGACAGCGTTCCGAGATGATCCTCTGGTTTTGAAGGCGGCCTGGGCGGACGCGCTCCGCCTGCCAAACCCTTCAAAAGGAGAAGGGCCGACCAAACCCTCGACCCTGTTCCTGCTCCTCCTCGGGTGGCCACCATGTGAACCCTACCCCACCCCCCACGCTTTCGAAGGGGTTGGGAATTCATTCCGCCCGGGAACTCCCAAACGAGGTGAACCCCCACCCCCCTCAGAAATCGTGGGGGTGGGGGTGGGGTTCGTATGCGGCCACCGACTCCTGCAACCGCGACCCTGGCACCGACGGGAACCAAAAATGCCGACACAACTACTCCAGTCCGCTCCTGGGGCGCGTGGTGGCCAAGATGTCAAGGCGAATCCAGCCGTGGCAATGAGAGACGGGAAGCGATACTGGCATAGTTCCCTCCTCTGAACACCCGTCCCCCGTGGTTGCAACACCAAAATGACCACTGGGATCCGGCTGCGGAAGCGCCCGTTTTCCACTCGCGATGCTGAAAGTCAAGAGCGGCACGCTGACGAATGACCGCCCGCTGGAAGCCCCGCGCCGCTTTCGAAGCCGAGCCGCTAGGTGCCCCTGCGAGCCAGCTACTGCTCCTGCTCCTCCTGGATCCAAGGCCGAACGCCGAGCCGAGGGCCCGATATCGAAGTCTTCGAATGCTCTGCAAGGTCGAGCCGAAGGCCCCCAGAAGCGAAATCGAGGGTCGAGAGAACGCGTTTCACGGGCGCTTGCTCTGGGGACGTTCGGCGGCGCGTTTCGAACCGGGGGGTGGGCCCCCACCCCCAACACTCGGCGCCGTCGATCAAGACCAGGGGGACTCCCCTCCCCCCAACACCCCCCCTCCCGACCCCCCCCTCTCCCAAGGGGGGGAGAGGGTTCAAACCCCCCCCGCCCCCCCCGGCCCGGAGCCGGTGCCAGCGCCGGCGGACGCCAGCAGCGCCGACGACGGGGACGCAGCGACGATGACCAGAACCAGCCAAAGGGGGGGCTTCAAACCCACCCACCCCCCGAGTGCCGGGGAATGGGGGCGTTTCAACCCCCCTCGCCCTCGGCCCCCTCCCCTCGGCGCCGTTGCTGGCGCCGGTGGCCGCCAGCAGCGCCGACGGCGGGGACGCAGCGACGATGACCAGAGGCAGCCCAAGCGGGGGGGTTCAAACCCATCCCCCCCCCTGGGCGGCGGGGGGGGGGTCAAACCCCCCACCCCCCCCCTTTCCTGGCGCCAACGCTGGCGACGGCGGGGACGCAGCGACGATTACCACCGCTACCGCCACCGCCAGTACTACCACCACCGCCACACCGCCTCAACCCACCACCACCACCACCAACCCACCACACAACCACCATCACCAACACCAACACAGCCACCACATGGACCACCACAACCACCACCACAACTCACCATCACCACCACCACCACAAAAACCCACAAAAACCCACCACCACTACCACCACCACCACCACCACAACTACAACTTACCACACCACCACCACCACCGCCACAACCACCACCACTACTGGCAGCACGACCCACCGCCACCACCACAAACCACCAGGCCACCACCACCACCACCGCAACCACCACCACCAACACCACGTCCACAAACCACCGCCACCACCACAACCCACCACAACCATCACAAAACAAACACACCACCACCACCACCACACCACCAAACCACAAACACCCACCACCACTACCACCACAACCAAAATCAACCACACCAGCACCACCACCGCCACAACCACCACCACTACTGGCAGCACAACCCACCACCACCTCCACAAACCACCGCCACCTCCACAACCCACCACCACCATCACCACAAACCACCACCACACCGCCAACAAACCACCACCACCACCACAACCCACCACCACCAACACCACCACCACCACTCAACAACCACCACCAACACCACCCACCACCACCACCACCACAACAACAAACCACCACACCACCACCACCACAACCACCACCACCACCGCCACCACCACCACCACAACAACCCACCACCACCACCACCACCACCACCACCACCACCACCACCACCACCACCGTCGTCCTCGTCGACGCTCCCCGCCGCCGCCGCCGTCCGCCGCAGGCGCCGGCGCCAGCCCAGAAAAAGAAATCGTCGTCCCCGCCGCCGCCGCCAACCGCCGCCGACGCAAGCGCCGGCCCGAGGAGAGGAGGGGAAGCAGGGGACGAAGGGGGGGGGGTCGACCCCCCCCCCCCTCCGTCAAGGGGGGTGGGGTGCGGGGGGTTGCGAACCCCCCCCCTCCATCCACTGGGGAGGGGGTCCGGTTTCAAACATCCCCCCCCTCCAAGCGACCACAGAACGCGCTCTTTCCGAGGGTCGAGTCGAAATCCGAAGATCCAAATCGAGGTCGACAATACTGGGGGTACTTAGCTGCGGTGGCCTCTGCAAGTTTCCTGGAACCTCCAAGGACCAGCCATCTCTGGGGACCCCGGAGGCCTCCGGATGAAGAGGGAGAGGAGGAGGTGGTGTTGGGCAGCTCTAAGAGATGGCATCACCCATCTTCTATGAAGCGACATGGCACGAACAACGAAAAGCCAAACTGCAGCGGCGGCGGAAGCATTCAGAGGGAAAAGACGTAGAAACCACAACTACAACTACACGCGCGCACGCTCACCAGCAGGCCGTCCAACCTCCCTCTCTCAATCTCCATTTTATATACTCATCACCCTCACCTCCTCGATCCTGGGCAAGCTCAATCCAATCAATCCGCCGACCCCTTGGGGTCAAACCCCTTCCCCCGGGGCCACGTCCGGTCGGTTTAGAGGAGGGGGGGTCATGCCGGCCCCGGCGAACGCGCCACGGGCGTCGCGACGGGCCGTGAGGGCCCAAAGAGGCCCACAAGATGGTCCAAGAGGGCCCCGAATCGCCAATGGATCGACAGGATGGCCCCCTGACGGTCCAATAGGCCCCCGGGACGCCCACGAGGCCCTCAAGAGAGGCGCCCAAGAGGGCCCCCTGAAGCAAACATTATCTCATTCCTTTCGGGATTTTAGCATATTCGCCTCGTTGCCTTTCACAACGTCCAAGGCGACCCAAGAGGCCTCCAAGATTGCCCCAGACGGCCCAGGAAACCCCTCCAAAATGGCCAGCCCAAGAGGGCCCCAAGACAACCCAAGAGGCCCCACATACGGCTCCAGGAGGGGGCCCAGCCGGGGGGGCCGAACGGACATTTTGAGCCCCCGGCCCCAAGAATCTTCCAGGGGGCCCCGAGAGGCCTCCAACAAGCCCCCACCAAGCTCAAAGAGGCCCACCAGAGGCCCAACAGAAACCCAAAGAGGCTTTAAAAAGGCACCCGAAAGGCTCCTAGAGTGCTGCCAGGAGGCCCCCGAAAGACCTACCAGGAACCCCCCGAGGGGCCTGCGGCGCGGCGCAATCCAGCGAATCCACGTCCGGACTGCAGCGAAGCGTCTCGGGTGTCCGACAGGACGGGCGCGTGGCGCCAGGACCCAGCCACGATGCGCAGAGGAAGGAAAATTGCAAAATACTGGATTCTTTTACGTTGCAAAACAACCCCCCTTAATCCCCCCCTGGGCCGCCGCTGGGGTGCCGACAAATTTCCACGCCTAGTGTCAATGCTGTCTAAAACCTGAAGGAAATGTATGATTTCGGCACCTTCGGCCTCCTGAGGGGCCAAGATGGTCTCGAGACGGCCCAAGGTGCTCTCAACGCTGCTTCAGAAGGCCCCAAGACGGCCCAAGAAGGCCTCAGGATGGCCATCGAAGCCCCCATGATGACCCAATGGGTGCTCCAAAAGGACGCTCAAAGGCGCCTGCGGAAGCCAAACCTATTAATTGTTGCAAAGGTGTTCGTTGATTATTCGCGCTTGCGCATTTTGCACTCTCGGGGGGCCATGGCGGCCCAAACTGCGTCAAAGGTGGCCCCGAAACGGCCCGCGACGCTCCCGAGAGGGCGTCTATACGGCCCGCGAAGGCCCCAATATTGTAGCAAAACGCTCCCAAGACGGCCCCAGACCTCCCGAAAGCCCCCCCAAAACGGCCTCCGCAGACGCTAGACGGCGCGGCGCAAGAGCGCCCCGAGATCGCCCGGAAGGGGCTCAAGAACACCCAAGAGGCCCCAAAGAAGTCCCAAAGAGGGCCTCAGAGGCGCCCAAGACACCCCCGCAGGCCCGACAAAGACTGTGCTGCGCGTGCTCTGGCCGCGGAGCATAACGGCCCCGAGAGACCTCCACGGCGGCTCCGAGATGCCCCCGAGATGACCGCCGAAGACGCCAGACGGCGCAAGAGCGCCCCAAGACAGCTGAAGACGCCGCACGATTGCCTAGGGAGGCCCAACGAAGCCCCCAAGACGGCCCAAACGGGCCTCAAGACGGCCCAAGGGGAGTCCAGGACAGGCCTACGGCGGCCCCGAAACGCCCTCCAAAACGGCGCCCACAGGGGGTCGACGACGCAAGACCATCCGATGACGCAGTCGACGGCGACGCCGGCGGGCCTCTTGCAGCCGCTCGCCACGATGATAACGACGTGCCTGGCGATGGCGACTCTGCGCGCTAGACGCATTTTTCCTTAGGCGCCCTTCTTGCCTCGCTGGCGCGTCTGCGCGCAGTCTGCGCATTTCCACGCGGGCGCGACGTGCGCCGTGGTTTCGTTGCGACGCGGCCGCGGCGCGCTGTTGCGCGCGCTGCGCGGCGGGTAGAGGCATGCGTCGCGCGCGCGCGCCGGCCCTGCCCAGTTCGCAGAACGCCGACCCACTTTGGCCGCATCTGGCGACGGGGCGCCGCGCGCCTCGCAATTCGAGCTCCGCGCGCGGCACGCCGCGCACTTCCGCGACGGCCAGGCGGCTGCCAGGTACTTCGTGCTCCGCGGTCGCGGGGCTACCTTGAAGACGTCGCAAATCGGGGATCTACAAGCCTCGCGCTGGTTTTTGTCTGACTACGATCCATGCTGCGTTCTGGTCTCGCCCCGCACTTCCCGCGAGGAGGACGCGCGCGCAAACTGCGCACTCGGGCCCCCCATGCATAATATCCAGCCGCCCCGGATCAAAATGCCCCATGCCCTTCAGGCCCCTGCGCTGGAAGCACGTGCACAGCGCACCTATATTCGACGGTGGCCGGTGCAGCTGCGCGGGGCGACGCGTCAGGCACACTGCTCGCTCGAGGGCGTCATCTGAGCGCAACTGCTCCAACATCTTCTCGTCGTTTTCCGAGACGCGCCTGGCTGTGCCGCATTCGAAGCAACGGAGCTCGCTGGGCGGCGGGGCTGGCCTCTGCATGTCCGCGGCACCTTCGGCGCAGGGCCGGGCTCGGGCCCGCTGGGGGCCGCGGGTGCAGCTTCGCCGAGCGCTGAGCTTCAGCGCGGAATTCGCATGCTCCAGCGGAGACAACGCGCTGCACTCCGGCACCCGGAACCTCTCGGGCGCCTTGCTCTGTCGGCACGCCGCGCGCGGGAGCGCGAGCTCCAGGGGGCGCTTCCTCGTCGGCGCTGTCTACTCTGCCCACTTCGCCTCCGCATCGTCGATCGCCACCGATCCATCGACGACCGAACTCAGCAACAATAGGCCGCGATGGCGCCCCATGCGGAACAACGCCGGGGGGGTAGCCCGCGCGATGAGAATGTCATCCGCTGTGCGAACTCGGCAAAAGGCCACGTAGCGCGGCGGCGCGTCGTCAGCTCGCGGCGCCCGCGCCGCGTCCAGGAGGTCAACGGCGGCGGTCGGGGGCGTCGACCCGGTCACGGCGTGCGCCGTCGATGCGAAATGAAGAGCCACTGTGAACCCCGCGCGCTTCGCCGCCGCGCCATTCCCGTCGCCCGTCCCGAGACATCGTCTTCGGTTCCAACGGGAAGACGCCCGGCGGCAGGCCAGGCGAGAACACCTTCGCTTGACCGTGCAGGTTCGCGTGCATAGCCACGGGCACCTCCCTCAGGACGACCTCTGCCTCCGCATGGACTTCGCGCACCATCCTCGCGTCGGCCTCGCTCAACGCCCACCCATCCACGACGCCAGTCGCCCGCTTGCACGCGCCGCACTCGCAGTTCACCGCGTCCGCCAATTGCGCCGGCATCCCCGCGCACAGCGGCAGCAGCCCAGGCACGCCGGCGGTCTGCGTCTCGGGGCAGAGCAGCCACCGCCCCCTAGCCCGCGCCACCACCTCCACGGACCGCGCCTCGTCGTCGCGGCTGCTCGGGGCGTCCTTGGCGACGACCCAGAGCAACTGCTTCCCGGCGCGGGCCGACGCGCTGGCAGCGCGCATTGTCAGGTCTCGGCTCTTCGGCACGTTGCGCGGGTGGATGTGCAGAGCGTCGGCGAACCGATCACCTATCTCCGCCATCGCCCCATCGTCGCCCTCCGCCGCGCGCCGCCTCCGACGCCGCTCTCCGCTGCAGCGGGCGCGCTCCTCGGCGGCCGCCGCGACCCGGCGGCGGGGGGGCCCTCGCCGCCCTCAGGGTGGAAGAGCTAGGCGCCCTTTTGGGGGCATCAATCGCACATTGCCCCCCCCGCCCAAAGAAAACGCGCCGAAATCGAAAGAACGCCGCAAAGACGCACCGTTTATTGCACAGCCGAACGCGCGGAGACACAGCTTCTCCGCGCAGGAGACGCGCGCTCGAGCTAAGACCGCGCGCCGCGCGACCGCGCGCGCGGACCGCGGAAGCAGCCATCTAACCGCCCCCCGAACGCCCCCAGGAAGCCTTGCCAAATACAACGCACACGAAACGTGCGCGGAAAGCAAAGAAGATCAAACCTAATAACACGGGACGGCCAAACAGGGTACGTCCCCGGTCGCGGTGCCGCGATGCAGACGAGGCCAGCTCGGCGCATGGCAGATCTAAGCATGCATGGAGTGAGAGCCCCAGAGGTACTCTCGCCAGAAACCACCACGTCGCGCCAAGACCAGCGCTCGTGGAGAAGCACGGAAACTGGGGGGGGGGCCACGAGGCGCCGACTGAAAGCGAACCCGCCCAGCACCGAATGCGGCCGCGCCAGACAACCTGCCGGCCACGCCAACAAACAAACAGCAAAAACGGCCATATGCGAAGCGAAACGCATCGCTCCAAACAAGAGGGACATCGTTTTCAACGCGGCGCGGAGACGAACTCCGCGCGCTTTATTATCCCACACCTTCGGCTGGAGCCATCCCCGGGACGCAATTGCGTCGTGAAGCTGCCCTTATTGCTGGGCCGCAGCAGCGACCGCAACGGCTGCAAAACAGCGTCGCGCTTCGAAAAAAGCTCAGCTGCTGATCTTGCCACTCCTTCCCGATCCACCTTCCTCGTATCCAATATGGTAGTCGTCATCATCAGCATCGTCGAATTCAGCGCTAGCATCATCATCGCCATCATTAACATCATCAGAATTACCAGAATCAAAATCATCTCGTCGTCTTCGTCGTCATCGGCGTCATCGGCATCATCGTCGTCATCGTCGCCAGCATCATCATCGTCGTCGTCGCTGACATCCGCAATAATCGTCGCTGGCGTCGTCATCGTCGCCAACATCATCGCCATCGTGTCGTGGTCGTCGCCGTTGCCAGCATCACCAACAGCATCGTAAATATACATTGCCTCCTACTGCCCCAGCTTCCATGAAGCCTCCAAGGCGCCTCCAAGAGTCTTCCAGGAGTCATGGCGACGACTGGACGACACGTTCTCGCATGGAGCTCTGGACGATATTTTTCGATAGGCGTCGTTGCTGCGCCAAGAAAATATGGATCTGCTGCCTTCGTAGAACTGCGCGGGGGCGCTACAAAATCCGCCGCTCTTTGTAAGAGCGCCAGGCTATAACATGTCTGACGCGCCACTCACGTGCAACGTATCCAATGTATCCACTGATTGCATAAGTGCTACATATCGTACTGCGATACATCATCGACGACCATGCCCCCCCACCCACCCACCGCCCCCCCGCCCCCGAGGCCACCCCGCGCCCGCCGACCCGAGAAAGGCGGACCACCGGGACCCATGCAAGAGAAATATACGGAAACCGATGATTTGGGCGTCCCGGGCCTGTCGCGGGCCCAAGAGAGGCCGTGAAGACGGCGCAAGATGGCCTCGATACATGCGAAGACGGCCCCAAGACGGCCAAATATGGCCCCAAGAGGACCAACAAAAACGCCCGGGACGGCCCAAGACGGCCTTGCGAGGACCTCCAAGAGCGCCTCCGGAAGCCAAAACCATCGATATTGAACCTTACTTAGCGTTCTCGCCTTCGTCGGCTCTCAGAAGCCCATGACGGCCCAAGAAGCCTCCAAAATGGCCCCAAGACGGCCCGAGAAGCCCCGGAAGCCTCCACGACGGCCGAAGCAACCCCTAGGGCGGCGCAACTCAAGAGGACCCCATGACCCCCGGAACGGCAGCGAGGGGCCCCCAGGACGGCCCCCGACTGGGCCGCGCGCAGCACGGGCGCTCCAAGACGGCCCAAGCCGCCTCCAAGAGGCCCCAAGAAGCCCCCACCCAAGACACCTCCAGGAGGCCGCAAAGAAGCCCCCAACAGGCCCCGCAACGACTGGACTGCACGCGGTTCGGACCTGCCCCCCGCGAAACGAAAGGAATCTTCTGGGGGCAATAGAAATGAACAAACCGATGTTCCCAAATCGACTGCAATAAGAATTTCTTGAATCCCCGACGTTGCCCGCCCCCGCTTTTCCCGAGCGGCGCGCTGCAGGCACTTCCACAAAACATTGCATAACGCAGAATGCGGATTATTACGTGCGATCTTAGCAACGTGCCCAACATGTCGATGCAGCTGTCTCCATCCTAGCTAGCATATCCAAGTAAGATATCATGTTATCTTGTCCTGCGCGTTTGATGTGCAACCGAATTGCTCGAACAGCTCGAACGCGCGATTCGCCCGTCTCCTCTGGAAGACGCGGCCAACGAGGATGTCTCACCAGCTGCTTGCTTGTGCCGTTGGCAATGAGAGAGCGACGCTCCTGCTCAAGCGCGAGATGAGGGGGGGCGCCAGAAACTGGTCGAGGCCGCATCGCGATGTATCAGTTGGAACCTAGAAGCCCTGGCACTCGACCCGCAGGCCAGCACTTGCAAGACAGATTCAGCCGCCGACGACGCCGCGCAAACATTCGCTCGAGTATCATGATCCACTGGCCCACAAGAATGCACCCGACAACCAATGACCTAAATTGCGCTGTCACGCGGGACAACCCCAACAGCCGGCCCAATTTTGCCCTGGGGATTAGGTGCGCACAGATATTTGACCACAAGACTGATGCGTTTTCTCAGGCAGGCCCCGTCCAAGTACTTTCAACGCCGACGGGCGTCTCCTTCATGGCCCCTGAACGTCTTCGACGGGAAAGGCCGGCGCAAGTGGATTGTCGCGCCAGACAATGAAGTCAATGGTTCGCACTTGCAAAGACGACGCCATTTCGCGCAACGAAGCCCACGCGAAACGAAATGAGCCAAAGGCGCCCCCAACTCGTCGCCCCAGCACCCCTGCCAGACAGGGCGCGAGCACTCAGACAAAACCATTTTGATATGCAAAACGCAAGGCACCAATAAGAGCCTCGAGGCCCCCCGCGCATCGCAGTCGCACGGTGGCAGTCTCACCGCGCAAGTGCATGATATATAGAATGGCTATCCAATGCCTCATTAATGAAACAAAAATTTCATCGGGGGCACCTCGCCGCTGCAGTGATTGAAGATGCCGGGCATGACAGACAACAGTAAAACGCTGGGGAACATCAGCCGATCCACACACATGCCCACGCCCACCTTCCAAACATCGATAAACCATGCGCAAAATCATATATGCCATGCCCGTGGCGCCGTGTCCTTCGCGGCAAGCAAACTGGCAGGGGGGTCGGCGATGTCCTCCTCAATGCGCTCCAGAAGGGCACCTCTCACCATCCTGAGGAGGACGCATATGACGGTCAACGGTCGCAACGCATTGAACCGAGCTGCCGGCGGCCCTGCTGGCACGGGGGCCAAGTCGCACAACGCGCGCTGGACATCCACGCGCACGGGTGCCGCATGAAAGGGGCGATCAATGGGGCAGGCGCGTTTGCGCTGCGCTTCATGAGAGAGGCCCCCAGGAATGCGACGCGGCATGACATCGCAAGACCCGCCGCGAAAGTCCCGATCGACGGCCCCCTTGAGCGCCCAGATCGGGCCGCCCAGCTCGAGCTGCTTCGAGGGCAGCGCAGCCGAGGAGGGGCCCCCCCGCTGGCGCTCGCCATCGCTCCCCGCCGAGCGCGCGCAGCACGCGGCGCGCGCTGGGGGCCCCTTCGCAAGGGAACGCAGTTGCCTCATTGTCAGGAGCGCCAGCGGCATCGCCGGCAAGGGAAACAGCTACTCGACCAAGGCGTCGGCGGACATGGCGAACGGGGGTCACCCCGAGCCCCGCTATCATAGACAGGGCGGTAGAGCGACAGAGCCGTGCGCGACTGCGCAGGACAGCTCATAGACTCGCCAATAGGCTGACATCAGCATCGCAGACCCCCCCCTCGCGGAATGCGACCTGGCATGTCCACCCGCAAGGGCAGCGATCATTTGAAGCAGGGGCAACAGACCGCGCCGTTGAGCGCCAATGAACGACGACCCAGGAAGAAGACGATTACAATGCGACGTCATGTCGATCCCATGGTGATCATTGGGCGTGCTACCGCGCCCTGCGACCTCGCCACCCCCCCGAATCCATCAAATCGCCAAACCCAAGTCCTACGGCGAGCTTCAGGCCCATTCTCATCGTCAACGCATGAATTTGGGCATGTTGGCGGGAGCCGCGGCGCCTGGCATGGCGAGGGTTCGAAGCGCTTCGGCAGCGACCAGATCGTCCGAGCAAGAGGGGGGACTAAGTGATCGCAGCGCGGTACTTTTGAGAAGGCGCGATGTATCGAAGACATTGTCGGCGGCGAACTCGCCGCGAATCTACGAGGGCAGGTCGACGAGACCCGAGAGATCCCGAAGAACTCTTCACTGTAGAACGCACTCCCGGCATCGACAATCTCCGACGGACCAGCGTCAGATCGATCCTCGTTCTGTGGGTCCCTCAGAGCCAACCGCCCCGGGCTGCCGGCGGCCGTGCAGCTTCGGCCACCAGCGCGCAAGTTAGTCAGGACTGCGCGAACGAGGATTGATCCTCAGCCCACGCAGCTCCCGCCCCTCGGCCCAAACGGCGAGCGCGTGCAATTCTTTCCCCGAGCGAAGTGCGCGCGCGCAATTTCCCCCCTGCGCGCGTGCAAATTTCCGATCTGCCTCCAAGGCGCGCAACTTCGCGCAATCCAGCTTCGCCGCGGCACGCGCGCTCAGGCAGCGACCGCCGGCGGCGGCAGCTTCGCCGATGATACTCAAACAACTCCACTGCCACATCGGACTGAACCTCCTGGGCCACTCGATGCACGCATAATCCATCAACGATAATAAGCAAACAACTGTATTTTCAACCCGCTTCCCTCGCGGATGGGGTCATAGTATTAACCCCTTCCTTCGCGGATGGGGGTCGATTAACACGACCGCCCCCGCCAGGGGCAAAGAAGCATGAGATGGCGGGAATGTCTCGAAGGGGAGGAAGGAAGGAAGGGCGGGGGATAGCGAGACAGGAGGTGCGGAGGACGTAAGCGACGCTTGATACTTGGCAGTGGGAGCGCCTGACCCTGCCCCCCCCCCCCCTCTGCGATTGCAGGCGTGTTTTTCTTGCGTTTTCAAGCTGTCCGCGCGAGATCGGGCTGCCGGGAGAAGCGTCGCAGCAGCGGCGGCGCCGGGTCAGCTCGACAAACCAACAGCGCGGACCCGCGACTGTGAAGCCACGGCCGCCGCTTTACCAGTCACCACAGTTTTCGCGCCAATGGCCGTCGTCGCCGCCGATCCACGCCCACCATCGGCCCCGCCGCCAGCGGTGCGTCTGGGAGCGCGGCGGCTCGCGGAGGCTCGGGCGACATGGGCCATCGGCGACCTTGCCGCCACCAACTTCTCCTTCTTGTATCCCTCCCCTTCCTTGCACGCCGCGGCCGCCACTGTAATCGACATGCGCGGTCGCTTGCGGCGACTGGTAGTGGCGCGGCGGATGCTGAGGCGGCCGCATTCGCGGCAGCAGCGGCTGCAGCGGCAGCAGCCGTTGCGGCAACTGCTGTTGGCGCGGCGGCGCCCGTTGAGGCGCCAACTGGGCCTCTCGTGGGCCCGTTTGTGGAGCCGTCTGCTGATTTGGCCCCGCTACTGCGGGGCCGTCGGCAACGTGCGCCCCCCCCCCCCCCCATCCGTTTTGATGCCCCTTTGCCGCTCGCGCTTCCGAGCGTTTCTCCGGGCCTCTGCGGCGGCAGATCGACCCGGTGGAAAGGCAGTCGAAACCATGAGCGGGCAGTGCGCCCCGCCGCGGCAAAGCCCGCCGACTTCGAAAATCTCGACGTCCAGCCTCGTTTCCTTGCACCTGAAGGCAGGAGACAGGTCGGTCTGGAAGTGGCTCGTGTCACCCCGCGCTTCAGCTGCTTCGCGCCGCTGGCGGTCTGCGGCGCGCAGCGCCACGACCCTCGCGGATTCGCCAGATGGAGACAGAAACGTTCAGACGAGGTTTTCCACGTCACCCTTGGCGGTCAAGCGCCCCAATTCCTGCCCTGGCCCGCCGTTCTTCCCATGCCGAAAGTGTACGACAGTAGGGTCGCCCGCCGCCACTGCGGCGGGCGATCCCCTGGGAGGCGGCATGGTATTTCTATGCCCCAGCCCAATGACCGATGACTCGTGGTACAATATACCACTGGCGTCTCTCGCGCGAACGAACTCGGGCGCATGGTAAAGCTCGCGCTCCCCAGGGCACGAGATAAACCAGATGCCACATGAATCGGCCATCGGCAACCCGTCGAGGCTCTTCCAGAAATAAGCCGCTGCAGTTTGGATGTCAATTCCGCGGCTCCTCAACTGAGGAACCGCGGACATCGAGGCCATGCCGAAATCGCCCATCAAAACATTTATGTCGTATGACGACAACTTCGATGCCAAATCTGGACAGAATCTGTCGTGCGCGGCGGGGAACCCACCTCCCTTCTGTCTTTTTTGCCGTGCACCTGTGAAGGTGAACGACGGCCAATCGCAATATGTTTCCGAAGTGCGCGAGGGTAGAATCAAATGTGCCTTCGACTCCAAGAACGCGGCTGTGCGCGCCCTTCGCGTCGCCAGCTGCAGTCCTGTAAATTCCGTCGGCACGGCGCTCCCAAAAGAGCAATGACACTTCGTTGGCGATGTTCTTCCGCGCCCCAAGACACAAGCTGCTGCGCTCATTGCCCCTGATCGTCATGTACTCGAACGATGGCCGGCCCATGAGCGATTGGCAGCCGCCGTCGGCGTCGGCCCCCGCAACTGCGGGGGCATTGACGCTGGCGCAAGTTCCAGGCCGCTGCAAAACGAGCTCGCATTCGGCCGTGCACTCTGCTAGAGCCACCACTTGGCACGGACTCTGCTGACGCCTGCGGTTCGCGTCGTCGCCCCGCGGATGCGGTGCGACCCCCCTCGCGAACGCCCGCTGCTCGCCGCTCCGCGACTGCGCAGCGTCGTGCCAGGCGACACCCGCTGCTATTACATACTTTCCGCTGCCATCCGCTGCCTCGCGTGATCCTCGACGAAGGCAAGTGGGACTTCCTTCGCGTCTGTGCGGGGCGCCGCTGCAAGGCGCAGGCCAGTCCGGTCAAGCAGCTCGCGCTGCAGCGTTTCTGCCACTTCTGGTCGGTCATGCCCCTGATGTGGCTCGTGAGCGATTTTCCTCTCAACGGGCCCTGCAGCACGGTCGTCGTCCACGACCCGCACGGGGGCCACGCAGTCCGAAGGTCGCGGCAAGCTCCGCGCGTGCGGGGCCCCCCTCGTCATCGCCACTGCCCTGGTCGTCAGGGCCCTCCGGCTCTGGCACGCGCCCTCCCGCAACCTCATTCGCGACGAACTCGCGCAACCATGGTAGATCATCCACGGGCGCCCACAACCTTTCGTAACAGTCCAGAAAACACAAGAGATCACGAATACCTTGCTCGCCCAGCTCGCAGCTGACTGGCACTTCTATTTTGCGAGGGGCCCCGCGGACAGGTTCCTTCTTCACCTGGGGCTCTTGCGCAGCAGGCGCGGCTTTCTTAGGTTTGGCCGCTTTCTCAGAGCTCCTCACCTTCAGCTTCAGCACGGGGCCATCATCCTCCGCGACTGCGGAGGATGCCGCCCGTTTGGATGGCGTTGCCGCCGCGTTGGCGGACGCGTAGGGAATGCCCAGTGTCTCGACCATATCCCCCATGATTCTGCTGCTCTTCAAATGGCCTTTGACCGCGTCTGTGCCGCCTGCAACTTTGAGCATCCAAAAGCGGTTCTTACGTGCAGAGACGAATTGCGTTGCTTTTCCGTTCACCATCTTCTCTTGGACTTCCAGTCCGTAACCCGCCACTCCTGTCGGGCAGGACAGACGTCCCCCTTGAATCGCGACGTTGGTCGCAATGCGAACAGGCGCCCATTCGCCCCTTCTACGTTTCGGCGCCATCTGCGCGCGACCCCCCCCCCCCCCGCTATTGCGGAGGCGCGTCGCGGGCGCAGCGGGGCGGGCCGCAGGGTTTGCAAGGGCCCGCGGGCCCCGCTGCGGCTTGAGGTATGAAGTGCGCAGCGGCGCCGCAGGGGGATCATGACAACGAGAACGAGCTGGCGCCGGCAAGCGCGCCCCCTTCCCTCACGGAAGGAGCCGGCGCGCACGTGCCCAGACCCCTTCCCTCATGGAGGGGAACAGGGCATTCGCGCGCGCGCCCCTTCCCTCACATATGGGGGTTGGGACGTCCATGCGCAGACCCCCTCCCCGGAGGAAGGGGTTCACATCGGTGTCCTCACCATCATCCGCGACATCGCCATCAAACATCACCATCACCACCATCACTTTACGCGCGGGACGTCCTACACATGATGCTGCCCTTCTCTCTCAGCATCCGCTGTCCCTCATGCAATCACGCTGCATTCGCATGGGTTGTCTTCGTCACTGCTGCTGATCCTCCTCCTCAGTCATGCTGTTTTTTTCATTAGTACACACCAGACGCGTTGGAAAAAAATCCTGTCCGCTTAAGCTCTTGCCTTCTCCTCATCCCCATGCAATCATTGTCCTGCTTGCTCGCGCCTGTGCATCGGCCTGCACATTCAGACCCGAGCGCCGCGTCGCAAGGAGCACCCCGGAGCAGAAACTCCGAGATCCAACGGGGAAGCGAAGCCGCGCGTGACTGCGGGGATGGCGGAAGTGCAATATCATCAGCCCTCTGGCCACTGGTAGTTCATTGCATAAGTACTTCTCTCAAGCCCTCGACTTGCCGCCCCCCTTTAACGAGCGCCTGGAACCCTGGATGGCGCAACGGTCGTCGCTGACAGCCAACGGCCTACGATGGCCCGCGGGCTCACGCAAAACTGAACAAAGTGATTCAAGATGGCCCCCATGTGGTTTCCAAGACGCCCCACAGCCACCTCAACATGGAGCGAACTGGAAATTGAACCAGCCACATGCGCCCTCGAAGAGGCAGCTTGACGATGGCTTGTACCACGGCGGTGCTACAAAATGTCGCAGGGCTGACGGCTGTGAAAGCCGTTTGGCGGGAAACGTTCCCTGGTCATCTGACGGCCGTTTGGCGGGAACGTCTTCTGGTCACCTGAGGGCCGCTCGGCGCCAAACGGCCCTCAGGTGACCAGAAAACATTCCCCGCCAAACGGCCCTCAAGTGACTGGAGCATGGTCCCCGCCAAGCGGCCCCCCGGTGACCAGAAAACGTGCCCCGCCAAACGGCCCCCAAATGACCGGAAAACGTTTCCCGCCAAACGGCTCGCAGGCGACCAAAAAACGTTTCCCGCCAAACGGCCCTAAAAGGACCAGAAAATCATCCTGCCAAGCGGCCGTCAGGTGACCAGAAAACGTTTCCCGCCAAGCGGCCCTCGGGCGACCGGAAAACGATTCCCGCCAAACGCCCCCAAACGGCCCTCAAGTGACTGGAAAACGTTCCCGCCAAACGGTTCCAGGTGACCAGACAGCGTTTCCCGCCAAACGGCCCTCAGGTGACAGGAAAAACGTTCCCCGCCAAACGTCCCTCAGGTGACCAAAGAACGTTTCCCGCCAAACGGCCCTCCGGTGACAGGAAAACGTTCCCCGCCAACCGGCCCTCAAATGACCGGAAAATGTTTCCCGCCAAACGGCCCCCAAGTGACCGGAAAACGTTTCCCGCCAAGCGGCCCCCAGGTGACCAGAGAACGATGGGGCCACCGAATGTGTGAGGGGTGCGTCGGGATGGAAGTGGAATTGCACGCCCTGCCGGCGGGGCCTTCGGTGGAGCTCCCTATGGGGCCGCGAAGCGTGTGAGGGGTGCGCCGAAATGGAGGTGGAACTGCATGCGGACCCTGCCACTGGGGCCTTGGGTGGAGCCACGAAGCGTGTGAGGGGTGCGTTGAAATGGAGGTGGAACTGCGCGCGAACCTGGCCACTGGGGCCTTGGGCGGAGTGCCCTACGGGGCCGCGAATCGTGCGAGGGGTGCGCCGAAATGGAGGTGGAACTGCACGCGGACCCTGCCACTGGGGCCTTGGGCGGAGCGCACGATGGGGCCACGAAGCGTGTGAAAGGTGCGCCGAGATGGAAGTGGAACTGCATGCGGACCTTGCCAATGCGACCTTCGGTGGAGCTCCGTTTGAAGCCGTGATGCGTTTGAAGGGTGCGCCGAAATGGAAGTGGATTTGCATGCGGACCCTGCCACTGGGACCTTCGGTGGAGCACGCTACGGGGCCACGAAGCGTGCGAGGGATGCGCCGACATGGGCATGCGAGAGAGCACAGGCAGGGAGGGATGGGGAGGAGGGGGAGGAAAGCGGGAGGCGAGGCGAGGTGAGACGCGGGGCGCTCTCTCTTCCAAACGAGGACCCAACGCCAGACGGGCTGGGATCATAATAAGGAGGGGGCGAAACATTCGGCCGAGCAGAGCGGAGGAAACCGCTCTGCCCCCCCCCCCCCCGCCCCCGTAGCTCACCGACCCGAGCCGCTGAGAAGCGGGCTTCCCTTGACTCCCGATCTGCGGTGGCCCGAACGCCTTTTCTCTCATGAGGCGATGGCCCAAGCCCACCCAAGCCCACCCAAATCTCAGAGAAATAGGCGCAATTATTCTCAACGCCTACAGGACTTCGGCGCCCCGTCCCTGGCAAAATATATGCCTTGCTTTGTTCATATTCGTTCCGCTCGTCTCCCCGTGCCTTCGCGACCCGCCCGAAATCTCTCCCGCTCCTGCGAACCCCCTACCAACTGCTCCCCGCTCACGCTCATTTTTTCTACGCAATTTGACATCGCCCGATCCCGGGCCCCCTTTCCGCGCCGATCTCGCGATATGTTTACGGGGCGTTTGTTCCGCGAGGCGCCGATGGTGGAACTCAGCGGGTTCTAGTGGTTCTTGGAAGACGTCGTCGGGGGGCGCTTCGCTGGCGAGTCGGAGCGCGTGCTTCACAAGGGCCCCGCTTCATTGAGGGGGGGGGGGGGGGCGGGGGTTGGCAGCGGCGGCGGGGGGGGGAAAAAGGTCGGGGGCAGGGGCAGCGGCGGGGGCAGGCGGCCAGGGGGTTGTCCATAAACGATGATGAGAAGGCTGAGGACAAATACCAGCGGCGACACGGCGAAACTGCGATGGCCGCAAGGAAAAGAGCAGGATGGGAAGCGACGTGGCAATCCACGGGCGTGCTCGGTTATCATCGTAGCACTGAACATATCCAGGGGGAAGCCGATGGAAAAAAACGACCGTAGCAGGGAAGAAAACAAGGCCTTTGACATATAAGGAATGCAACGCACATGTCGGGAACGAAACGGAATGAGAGGCAGAAGGTGCAGGAACGCAATCTGATGACAAACACCGCGCAAAGAAAAACGCGAGGCACGCGCGCTCAGAACAAGGACGGCGTAGGACTAACAGGTAAGCAAGGAAGTAAATGATGGGGCACGTGTAAGGCCATTACATAGATCGCGGGAACGCGTGCTCCCCAACTTCGACCGACGCTGCGTCGATGCCCCCCTTCCTTCACGGAGGGGGTTCACAACGGTGGTGAAAAAACCCTTCCCTCACGGACGGGGGGAAAGGTTCGCTTATTTTGGCTCTTGGGTTAACTCTGGGCGCTGCGATGTCCGTCCAATAGGCAATAGGCGCAGCCGAATTGTAAGAATGCCAGGCGATGGTATGTGATCGACGCCGCCGCGTCCAAGACTCGCGCCTGACGAACGCACCCACGATGAGATCGAATCATCGTAAAGCGTAAATCGCAATGTCCCCCATGCACGGTGTGACTTGACCCGACGGCATGTCTGGTCGCCGCCACTTCTTTCGGATAAGATGCGCTGGGGAAGAAAAGACCATATTGCATAGCCAGAAGCAGGATCAAATAACGACGATCAGTACATGTGTCACACGAAAACTCACCAACAACTTCAACTTCAGCGCAAGCGCTTCCAGGGCCCAATTCAGCGTTGAAGCCGGCGTATGCTACGCTGAAACGAACTGGATAATTTTCGAAGTAGCTGCGTTGCAAGTCGCCCCGGGGCTGGCCTGCGGGTGGTGGGTGGCCCCGAACAGGAAGGACTTAGACAGGATACGTGCACGAGCACGCACCACGCGATCATGTGGAACAAAGGGAGTATGAAGAAAATCGTGATTGCGCCGTCGGCGGAGAACGATAACTCGTCCGCGTGAATGCGCTGAACCAAGAGAAACCACGACTCAAGATCTCGCGACCTGACTGGGAACTGCGGCGAGCCAACAACATTGTTCTGCAGACCGAGAACAGGCCGGTCACATTCACCACATTTGAACTCAAGGAGAGCATCAAGCTCCTGAGGAGCAGCCCCGCAGCAATCGAGCGCCACGACATTCAAACGAAAGGTATCGACAGTCCTGCTTACTCTTATCGGCCCTTTCAGTGAAGTTTGCTTCGCGTAAGACTGCCTTACCAACCACCTTGATATAGTCAACGCCTGCGTTGACCTTCGGTCGAATACATTACAGTTGCCAGCTTCAAGGTATACGTGGCCCTGCACTGATCCATTGTATGGCGTCTTCATCAATAGCTTGGGACCAGTAAGTGGAATGCAACCTGCATCGCTAGCAGCAGGAGCTTAGATCGCCCTTCTTCCATCTGGACCCACAACGTTGTCCCATTTTTCCACATATCCACGATGATTTCCCAGTATGACACATGCAACATGATCGTCCCGAATACAAAAAGCAGCATGGTTACCAGGAGGCGCGCACTACTGCCTCTAAATACAATCAGGGCCAACCAAAGAGGCGACATTGTCAAGATACGGCGCCATTTCATCATTCTTAGAAACGTCCAAAAACCCACAATCGCAAGCTTGAAAGCATCATATCCATTTGGTCCAGCATGAGCATGGGGCGTTGTTGCCGCAGCGGAAACGGCACTCGCAAGCCGAGAACCTGCCGAAACTCGGGGCCAATATAATCGTTTCCGCCGCGTTGTCTCAACTTCCGTTGCCGCCTCCTTCGCCACATCCGTTTTCAGAGTCTACCTTCTCCAAGGTATCCCCTACATCCTTGACGCGGCCACCCAGTGTTGTTATGCCAATCGTATACTTCATCAAGTCTGCATTGGCCACTTCGCCCGATGGAGCGTTTGGATGTGTCATTTCTTCCTCACAATCAAGCGTGCGCGAGGGGGGACCGCTTGCTCCACGTTTGGTCATCCTTGCAATGAGCCGCGACGGACCGCCCGCGGGAGCAGGCAGAGTTGCCTTGAGCAAAAATGGCACGAATCAGGAAGAGGAGGAGGAGGAGGAGGAGGAGGAGGGCGGCAACGATAGAGGGCGAAATAGCTGAAAAGTGGAAACATTGGCTTGGAATCGGCGATGCATCGCCGATAGATCGGCCATAGGCCCAGGATAGCGAATCCCCATGTTCCTCGGCGGGGTGGGATATCGGGCCCCTATCTGCGATCAATGGGTGATTAGGCATGGATCCCCACCTGAGCCCATCCCCGCCTCATATTGCCCCTGATCCGACACATTCCCTCCCCTCATCTCACAGCCGGTCCCCCGGATCCCCCGTGGCGACGAGGAGGGCCCTGGAGGGCAGAGCCTCGCATCAAAAGCGCCCCGGATCGACGGCACTGGCCGGAAGCCATTGCCCCTGATCCGACACTGTGAGAGTGGAAGACCACCGACACTTTGGACGTCTGCGGGGTGGCTCTCCGAAAACGCGGGACACTTCGCGTCGAATCCCTTCGAATCCGCGTCGAACCCGGGCCCTCAAGAAAAAACAGCAGGCCAAGCGAACGGCATGATCAAAATCGGAGACCATCACGTCCGACGCCACGACTTCTTCTGTGGCGTGGGCCCCCGCGACTGTCGGGATCAGCTTTTCACCGATGATCGCTTTCTGATAGCTCGGGGGCCCGAGAAGAACTCCCCAGGGCCCACAGCGCTGAACGACCGGCCGTCTCGGGTCCTTGTGGCGCCCGAGATCTGCATCCTCCTCCCGTCCTGGGGTGCGCTCTGGCCAGACTCCGGGGGGGAGGGGGGGTTGGAACCAGCCGTTCCCACGTTTCCGAACGCCTCGGCGCCCAAGGCCTCGATCACAGCGCCTCTCAGGGGCTCGGGCTCCAGGAGCCAGGCCGAGCCCTCCTGCGGGCAGCAGAGGCCGAGGGCGGCGTCGGCCCAGCGGAGGTGGCCTTCGCGGTAGAGCTGCCGCTCGCTCTTCATCAGGTCGTGCATGATCTCGTTCCACGCCTCGGCGGGGGGGGGGCAACATGGAGCCTCGAGGGATCATGCCCTGAGGACAAGCAGAGATCCCAGGTTGCATTTAGAGGGTTTGATGTTGGATGCTTGGGAATGAACACCGACACCCAAACAGGGGGTGCGTCCGCAGGGGGAGGATGATCCTAGACTTTGGAGTTGGTGGTAATCTTTCGGCTACCTAGAAGCCCGACGCTTACCACCGTCACCGAGATCGGAATAATCTTCCCTCGGTGGAAGCACACCGCCAATGTTGGTGTTGGTGCTGACCTCCAGGCCTCCGATGATCACCGTCGTTCTCAGGGTCCCATCCCTCGGCCCTTTGTCGGTTGCCTTCCCGCCTTTTCGCTTGCAGTGGGCACACGGGGCCGCAAATGGCAGCAACATCGCCCAAGAGAATCCCGAGAGAGACCGAGGCCCGAGGCTTCAAGCTGGTACAACAAACACCCACATTCGCGGCATGAGCGCGCCACGAGGGCCCAATCACATTTTTGGGTGGCGAACATCGGATATGCCCTGATGCTTAGGAGACGATTCAAACCGACACGTCTGAAGCGTCTGAAACGGACGACTAAATGAACCTCACACCTGGCTGGGCACATCGGTTCCGGATGGGCCAGCCGCGTTGCGAAGATAACTCCAAGTGGCTGTGAATATGTGTGTAGGCTGTGAATATCGATGTCGGTGCTGAAGTACGTACAGTCGACGTGCTACAAAAAACGAAAAACGCAAGGTAAGGCACGAAGGGGCTTGTCTGGCAACGGCGTGCCTCGGCCACGAATCGGCCCCTCGACCCAGATGGCCCGAAAATCAGGAGCCCCTCCTGAGCCCAGGGTGGTCATCTGTTCAGTGTCTTGGCTGTACCTTCGACTTCTGATTGCAAGCGGCTTCCTGTGCACTCGCCAGTCGTATCTTGCCCGATGCTAGCAGCGCATGCAGCCACGCCGCTGCCTAAGACACGCTTGTTTCTGTGTGCGTGTGCGTGTGCGTGTGGTGTGTGATCATCAGACTGAATTCATTGCAGCGCTAGGTGCAATGAATAGGTACGCGTCCCTCACATAATCTCTCGCGACCGTGGTGTCACATCGCCGTCGGATGGGGAAACATGTGTGTGCGAGTTTCGGTGCGAGTCGGGAGCGTCAGCGCCGCGCGCCTGCCTCGGCCCTCGCCCCTAAGCTCGGGGGAGGGCCGCTCGGAACCCCGCTTTGCCCTCCCCACCACCCCCACTGCACAAGGTAAGCAGCCTCCAGAGCCAGAGCTTCGCAGCGGGCTCCTTCCTCCAGTTTCCCTCCTCCCTCCTCCTCATCGGTCCTCCCTCCTCCCTGCCTCCCTCCACCCTTCATGCTCCTCCTCCTCCTCCTCCTTCCGCCTCCTTCCTACTCCCTCCTCCTCCTTCAGATCCTCCTCCTCCTGCTCCTTTTTCCTCCAACTACTCCTGCCGCGGGCCCAGACTCGTCCATCTTCAGGGCGAGTGGGCACCGGGGCCAATCATGACTCCGAATTTGGCCGACCCTACGCAGCACGCGCGCAGGACGCCTCCTCCTCCTCCTCCCCCTCTCCTCCTCCTCCTCCTCCTCCTCCCCCTCCTCGTCCTCCTCGTCCTCTCCCTCTCCCCCTCCCCCCCCTTCCCCCTCCCCCTCCTCCTCCTCCTCCTCCTCCTCCTCCTCCTCCTCCTCCTCCCCTCCTCCTGGTCCTTCTCCTCTTCCTCCTCCTCCTCCCTTCCCCTCCTCCCTCCTCCTCCTCCTCCTCCTCCCTCCTCCCTCCTCCTCCTCCTCCTCCTCCCCCCCTTCCCCCCTCCATCCTCCTTCTCCTCCTCTCATCTTCCTCCCCCCTCCTCCTCCTCCTCCGCCGCCTCCGCCTCCGCCTCCTCCTCCTCCTCGTCCTCCTCCTCCTCCTCCGGCCTCCTCCTTCCTCCTCCTCCTTCTCCTCCTCCTCCTCCGGCTCAAGCCTCTTCTCATATTTCTTTCTTACGACTGTGGGTGCGCAATGGACCTCCAGACCCAAGGATACTTCTAATATGCACAGCTCGCCGTGCCGACCCGGGACGCCAATACAATGCAATTGACTCGTCCTGGCTGTTTGCATGACTCTGTCCACATTATCGCCGTACTCCTCCCCCTCTTCGAAAGAAACATGAAAGCTGCGTAAACAATCTCCAGAGGTCCGCGCAAAAATTCTGGATCGGCGCTGGACGCCACCAGCGGCGCAAGAGGCCTGGCGCGTTCCGCGCGCCAGGGATATGGGCCCTACGCCGACCCAAGAAATCCTGCGGACCTCTGATCATGCCACGTGTTCTTCTCCGAACCCCGCCACCTCCCTCCCCCCCCTCCCCCCTCCACCACCACCCCTCCCCCCCCCGCCCCCGTCGCCCCTCCCTCCTGTGGGGTGCGGCCTCGCCCGTCGACGCTCGGAACAACGTGATCAGGGCCCATAGGGAGTGCCGGAAGCCGCCGTGGTAGTTGAAGAACTCGCCCTGAGCCGCGGTGGCGGTCGCCGACGGGTGGCAATCGCTGGCCTCCGCTTACGCGAACTCTAGTTCAGTTCTTTCGATGCTCGCGCCGTGAGCTTTTTGCATCTTTTCCAACATTGCAAAAACCAACATCGACTGGAAAAGACGAAACATTTCAGGCCGCTCTCTCTGGGCCGCGGGGCCGCGACCGCGGTCCGCCCAGCCTGCCCCCCCCCCAAGGTGCCAGCGCTTGGTCGCTTTGGCGCGACACTCCCCGCCCACCTTCGCCGCTCCAGGGCGAGGAACGACGCTCAATGGGGGAGGGTGGGGATGAAGCGGGGAAACGGACAAGCTAGGTGCGTTCGCGTCATGCCGCGCTCTGAGCGAGGAGGGCGGCCTGCTCGCGCGTGATCCCGTACGCGGCCGAGATCGCCTCGAGGGCGTCCTGGTCGCAGGACTCCAGCGCGGCGGCCGCCACAGAGCCGGGACCAGCAGCAAGCGCCACCGCACGCCCGTCGCCGCTACGACCACCACCAGCCTCTGCAGACGGCGGACCGTCCGCTCCAGCCGTGCCAGCCCCAGCACGAAAGCCATCGGTCCATTCGTCGTCGGTTCATCGGCGCTCGTGGCGCGTTCCGCGCGCCAGGGATATGGGCCCTACGCCGACCCAAGAAATCCTGCGGACCTCTGATCATGCCACGTGTTCTTCTCCGAACCCCGCCACCTCCCTCCCCCCCCTCCCCCCTCCACCACCACCCCTCCCCCCCCCGCCCCCGTCGCCCCTCCCTCCTGTGGGGTGCGGCCTCGCCCGTCGACGCTCGGAACAACGTGATCAGGGCCCATAGGGAGTGCCGGAAGCCGCCGTGGTAGTTGAAGAACTCGCCCTGAGCCGCGGTGGCGGTCGCCGACGGGTGGCAATCGCTGGCCTCCGCTTACGCGAACTCTAGTTCAGTTCTTTCGATGCTCGCGCCGTGAGCTTTTTGCATCTTTTCCAACATTGCAAAAACCAACATCGACTGGAAAAGACGAAACATTTCAGGCCGCTCTCTCTGGGCCGCGGGGCCGCGACCGCGGTCCGCCCAGCCTGCCCCCCCCCCAAGGTGCCAGCGCTTGGTCGCTTTGGCGCGACACTCCCCGCCCACCTTCGCCGCTCCAGGGCGAGGAACGACGCTCAATGGGGGAGGGTGGGGATGAAGCGGGGAAACGGACAAGCTAGGTGCGTTCGCGTCATGCCGCGCTCTGAGCGAGGAGGGCGGCCTGCTCGCGCGTGATCCCGTACGCGGCCGAGATCGCCTCGAGGGCGTCCTGGTCGCAGGACTCCAGCGCGGCGGCCGCCACAGAGCCGGGACCAGCAGCAAGCGCCACCGCACGCCCGTCGCCGCTACGACCACCACCAGCCTCTGCAGACGGCGGACCGTCCGCTCCAGCCGTGCCAGCCCCAGCACGAAAGCCATCGGTCCATTCGTCGTCGGTCATCCGTCGTCGGAGGCGTCGGCAACTGCTACTACCGCCTACTCGGGCACAATGCCCGCGCCAGCCGCCCCATCCGCCGCCAAAACGCCAGCCTCAGCCGCAGCAGGGGCCGCCGCACGCGGCGCTGATGGCGACGCCGAAGCATTGCCGCTGGCACCGCAGGACCAGCGTCCGCAGCACTGCCGCGCCCAGGACGAAGGAGCTTGAAACATGAGGTGGATGGCCAGCAGCAGCAGCAGCAGCGTCGGCCTGCCGCACGCACCGTTGGGCCCTAGCCAAGCTTGAACAGCGCGGCCGAGACTGCAGTAAGACGAAGCGCCAAGACGAGACTACATTCGGGTGAGGACCGATCGAGAATCTCTGAGATCCGGCGGCTCTGGAGGATGTCTCGGGCGACGGGGCCTCCTCAGAGCGTTCCAGAACGCTCCGAGAGCCTTCCAGAACGCTCTGGAGCGGATTTACGGGCTTCTGAGAAGTTCCCTGCGCCTTCCTAAGAGACACACAAAACCATGAGAAGGCCAGAGGCCTTCGGAGAAGTCCCGAGGATTTCTGAGCGGCCCTTCCCCTTCTCACTCCCCCCCTTGCTCGCCGCCGCGCCGAGACTGCAGACCTGGCGACGGCCGCCACGGTGCGCTTCGGCGCTCCCCCGACTGCGGCGCCACAGACAGCCGCTCCCGCGGGCGCGGCCAGCGGCAAGCGGTGGCACACCCCGGCCTATCGAATGCCGAGCGCGCGGCCGCCCTCACGGGTGCTCGGCGGGCCGAGAGCAACGGGCGCGCGAACGCATGAGCCAAAATGGCGACGGACGGGAAGAGGAGGAGGAGCAGGAGGAGCAGGAGGAGCAGGAGGAGAGGCGTCGAGGCCCGAAGAGCCCCCCGAGGCAACGCCCCAGCGGGGCCACTTCGTGTACCGAACTCTCCCACTAACGCATCCCACGTCCATTCCCTCGCCCCCTGCTCAGGCCCGCGATCAGGGCTGTGTGACCTGATCCGCCAGGAGTTCGCGTGCCCATCGCTCGCCCCTACCTCGAGGGCCACGTCGACCGCGGCACCCGCGGGGGGCCGACCCCGACGCCCACGGTCGCCTGCCTGGCACCGTCGCCTGCGCCGCGAGCGTGCCGACGCTCGAGTGCCCCTCCGCCTCGACCGAGCATGCCAACTTCTCGCCGATCACCGCAGCGCTCAGCGATCACCTCGACCACCCGACACCACCATGGCGCCCAAGATGGCCCAGACCCCAGTCGGCAGCTATCACAACAAACAGTGGCATCAGCAGCAGCACCACGGACACAATGGCGCACCCGCAGTCGCGACGATGCCCGCGGCACGGGCAGCAGCAGCTCCATGGGGCAGCAGCACCAGCAGCAATCGCAAAAGCAACAGCAGCACAGCCCCAACGTGCAACGTAGACAGTATAAGAGAAAAGAGGCGGCTGCCAACGTCGCCCCCGCGGCATTCACCGAAGCCAGAAGATAGCAGCACTGGAGCGAGCCACCCCTAATGTACCGTTACGACAGATTCCAGGAGTACTGCAATAACTGCAAATCAGACATCAACTACCTCGCTACCACCATCCAGCGGTAGGCCAACGACGACTACGACTTCGACGGGATCGTCACCAAGATCCGACTACAAAAGTCCACGCTCCTAAACTCGTACGACACAGAAGACCAGCGAAGAGAGGTCGAAAGCATGAACAACGGAACCGTCGCCCAGATGGACGACGCACAACACCGGCTGGAGGAGCTCAAGCAAAAGGCCACACTACTGGGAGATCGACATCGCCAACTAAGGCCGTGATCGACAGTAGCACTCATATAGGAGAGAGCGTGATCCACCGCCGCTTTACTGTGGAAAATTGCCGCCCTTTTCCTCCGGAGCCCGGGGTTCCCCCCCCCTCCGAAAATCCCCCCCCCTGCTGGACCCCCCCCCTCCCCGGCACCCCCCCCCCCCTCCCTAACCCCTCCCCCCCCCCTCCCTCTCGAAAACCGGGGGGGGTCACTACGGGTTCGACCCCCCCCCTCAAAAACCGGAGGGGGGGTCACTACCGGTTCGAACCCGTCCCCACCCCCCCCACTCACCGCCAGCAAACAACTCCCGGTCCCTACCACAGTCCACACCACATCCCCCACTGTTGTTCCCAGCAACACTGTCCTCACCACCACTGTCCCCACTGGTTCCACCACAGTCCCTATTGTCCCCACCAGTGCCCCCACCACTGTCGCACTGTCCCCGCTGTCCCCACCACTGTTCCCACCACGGTTCCACTCTCCCCACTTTCTCCACACACCCAACCACTGCCCGACTATCCCCACTGTCCCCACTGTCCCACTGACTCCTCCGCTGTCCCACTGAACTGTTCCACTGTTCCCACCACTGTCCCCACTGTCCCCACCACTGTCCTCACTGTACTTCTGTTCCATTGTCCCACCGCCGTCCTCGCCACCGCCTTCACCACTGTCCCCACCATCACTGTACCCTCCACTGTCCCACTGTTTCCACCTCATTCCATTCCCACTGTCCCCACACCACTATCCCCACCACCACCGTCCCGTCCCCACTCCCCACCACTGTCCACTGTCCCCACTGTTCCCACCATTGTCCTCACCACTGTCCCCACCACTACCGTCTCCACCACTGTCCCACTGTCCCCACCACTGTCCCTCTGTCCCCTCACCACTGTCCCCACCACCACCGTCCCCACCACTGTCCGCACCCCCCCTCGGTTTTCGAGGGGGGGGGGGGGTTCGAACCGGTAGTGACCCCCCCTGGTTTGCGAGGGAGGCGGGGGCGGGGAGGGGAGGGGTTCGAACCGGCAGTGACACCCCCCCCCTTTTCATGATGAACTGGGGGGGGGGGGGGAGGGGTTCGAACCGGTAGTTGACCCCCCCTGGTTTTCCGGAGGGGAGGGGGGAGGGGGGGGGGAGGGGTTCGAACCGGTAGTGACCCCCCCTGGTTTTCCGCCAGCAGCGGTAGAACACGCTGTTTCTCATATAGACATCGACATGGGACACCAGGAAGCCATCTTCCCCAAGGGCGAACAAGCAAGAGACGGGAAGGATGGATGGGGCACAACTTACCGACGCCTCCTTCGTAGACGACATGAACGCTTACGCCCGCATGCGGCACGACGCTGCACATGACATCATCAGCACGGCCAAGACGCTCTCCAAAATCATACTCAACTTGACCATGGCCCATGGCATGCGACTCCACGCCAAAACAAACCAACATTATGCGACTCCTGCATGGGCACCAGAGCAGAACAACGAAGGAGCAACTCGCCAAAGACAACATCACAAATATAGAAGACGAGCACATCAGCGAACCAATCGAGCTTGTCAACCACCAGATATCGCTGGATACCGCAATATACGACGGAGGGCATTGTCCAGACATACAGCAGAAAATCTCAGAAAGGCCACAACGAGCAGGGCTCCACCACGCAGGTCTACAAGCGAAGACAGCTGAGCATCGACAACAAGACCCTTCTCAACGATGCGCTGACCAACTCGGTCCTCCGCTACAAGTCACAAATCTGGAACACTCTGAGACGGGGGTAGCTCCATTGCATCGAGACCGATGCCTGAAGGGATACAAGATGGCAGCTTGATGCAAGGCCAACAACCACGACCACCAGAAAGTAAACAACGGCAGTATTCGTACTGAAGTCAGATGACCGGATGCAAACATCTCTATGCGCATCTTCAGGCTACGACAGCTATCGAGACTGCTACAACACGCCCCAGATGCCTCGACGACAACACAAACTACACCCTACCGTAGCTCGACCCTGTCCTCAGCGCAATTCGCCGGGCGCCCCAGATCTTCGCGGCACAGCTTAAGACCGTGACACAGCGCCACGCACGACGCAACCTTGACCAGGAGCACCGACGACAATGGCACAACAACTTGCGACCTTACCAAGACAATGACTTTGTCCCACAATTCACGAACGACGACATCCACAACGACAAGACAATCATGTGTTACGAATGTGGTGCCACCTCTACGAGATCAACGGAATTCACGTCCACATGGGAAAAACACCACCCAACAGACTACCACCCAAACCAGGTGGGCTCATGGGAAAGGTGCCTGAGATGCTCCAACGAACACCCCGCATTTGGAAGACTCGTGAAGAACCTACTCGCGTGCACTGCATGCGCGGCACCCTGGAAACGAAACACAGACAGGCACGTCGAAGCAACTACGGAAACAAACAGATAAACCATACGAAACGAGCAAGGAGCCAACATCATTGCTGGACGGCCCCCACTGCACGCACACACCGCCAGCTACAAGACTGACATACCGCCGCTGTGCATCCAGGGCCACGAGGCTACAAGAATAATGCCCATACCTGCTACAGCACCGGTGGAACCAAGACCAGACCCGACGCCAATACCCCG